TGGAGAGTTCTGCCGCCACATCGCTGTATCGCCATGCAGCTGAGAACATGTGTCCCTGTGCTGCTGTGCCGCTGTGCCCCTGTGCTGCTGGGCTGCCGTATCCTAGTGTTGCTGCGGTTGCGTGATGGCGGACACCATGCCACGTCAGTACGCGGAGGGGCACGCGATCGACTTCGCGGCCTGGCTTGTCGATCTTCGCCGGCACCTGAAAGGTCAGCACCATGATGGGCACTCCCTGGCTATGCATGTTGATGGCTTGCTTCCCCACCCCCCGCGCCTGATCCCCTTCATGTTGACCCCACCATTGTTGAGAGTGAGGCCTTTGCTGCTGCTGTGCTCGCTCGCGCTATCTGAGATTCTCGCGATGCTGTAGCGCAGCTTGCCATTAGTCATGTGCTTCTCCTATCTGAGCGCACGCGTTTCACTGCTGTCGCAAACGCCAAAGACTTCCTAGATGCAGTAGTTGCACGCTACTCCACGCCTGCCTCCGCCTCAGCTGGACGCTTGATCCTCCCCATGCTCTCCCCCGATCTCTCTGCTTTCCCAACTGTCGCTGATCTTGCCACTCACTTCCGTGCAGTAGAGACCAGCTCCAGACCGGGCCCTTCCATGGCACTGAATGCTGCCGCCCGCACCCGACCGCCCGCTGCTTCCGCCGCCTCGACGACCTCTTCCGCCGCCGCTTCGGCCCGGCCCCAGACCTCCCTGACTGGCCCAGTCTGTTGCGCCACAGTGTGCCTATTTTTGAGTTAGACATGGATTGGATTAGTTTTGCCCTGCATTCTCTGTATGCTGATGCATCTAGTGTGTCTGGATCTTATTATCCTGTGTTCTCTAGCATAGGCGTAGCACCTTTGTGTAGTACAGACACCCCTGCTGCGTCAGGTGTAGGACCATTTGCTTTGTCTAGCCTAGGCTCTACCCTTCCTCCTCCTTCGTCCACTGCTACCGCTTCGCTGTCCTTAACACTTGAATCTGGTGCATCTGCCTGCTTCTTCCGCGACCACGCTGCGCTTACGCCGCTTGCCGCGCCTACTGCTGTCGCACTTGCTGACCCCTCTCTGGCCCTGTAGTTGCTCGCAGCTACACTACCCTTCCATGTCCAGTGATTCCCTCGGGTTCCCTTATAGGCCTGCACATCCCCTCATTCTCCCGGAACATAGTTGGTGTCGGCTGTCTTCAGGACCTCGGTGTCACCACTACGTTCCTGGGTCACGAGCGGTACACCGTCTCTACCGAGGCCGCCTCAGGTTCCCCCTTGCGACGTTCCCCCAGGACCCGGTGTCTGGCCTCTTTACGCTGGAGACTGCTTCCCCCCCAGGTGGACCGTCCCGCCCTGGTCCTGCATCTACCCAGGTCGCCGCTGCTTGCTCGTGTTGGTCACTCACTCACCCGTCGCTTCTGTGGCACCACCGCCTAGGTCACCGCGCACTCCCGCGTCTGCGTCACATATCCCAGCACGGTCTTGTCCTAGGTCACCCTACGTCACTTTCTACCCTCTCTCCCTTGCCTGCGCTGCCGTGCACGCTCTGCATCGATGGCTGGCTGCGCCATGCTCCTCACTCCTCCTCGCTTCGTCCCACCACCACACCCCTCCAGACCCTGCACCTGGACGTCTGGGGCGCAGCCCCCGTCCCTCGACCGCGTCGCGAGCGCTACTTTCTAGTGCTCGTTGACGACTACACGCGCTACACCACGGTGTTTCCCCTGGAGCAGAAGGCCGACGTGCTTGGCGTTCTTATCCCGTGGGTCGTAAATGCACGCCTCCACCGCGGTCACTCTGTGCTGTGTCTCCACTCCGACCGTGGCGGCGAGTTCGCCTCTAGTCAGCTTGGACAGTTTTGTCGTGCGGAGGGCATCACCCAGTCGTACACCCTACCGGACTCCCCGCAGCAGAATGGGGTCGGTCGTTGAGCGACGCATCAGTTTGGTCATGGATGTGGCTCGTACCTCCATGATTAATGCTAGTGCACCCCATTTTATGTGGCTGTTCGTCGTTCGCTGCGCCACTCACCAGCCTAACCTCTGGCCACACTCCCAGTGGCCGCAGGTTTCGCCGACCCTTCTTTGGACTGGGTTCCCTGGTGACGCGTCCGCGTTCCATGTATGGGGCTGCCTTGCTTACGTTCGTGCCTCTGGCACGGACAAGCTCACTGCCCGCACTGTCCCCTGTATCTTCCTCGGTTTCCCCCTGGACTTGTCTAATTGGCACTTTTACTACCCGCCGTCTCACTGCTTCTTTCACTCCCGTGACGCCAGTTTCGACGAGTCTGTCTCCTTTTACCACCGCTTTTCCCACCGAGGTCTCCCAGTTTCCCCTCCTCTGTTTCTGGTCCCCACTCCCCCGGAAGCCCCTACTCACCTTCCTCCCTGTCCTGCTTCGTCTGGTGTGTCTCACGTCACTCCCCTCCAGTCGGGTGTCCCGGTCAAGGAGCCGACTGACTCTGGTGGCCCTATGGCGCAGTTCTCGCCGCTTGTCTCTTCCCCAGTGTCTCCTATTCCGCCGTCGTAGTCGCCGCCGCCGCCGCAGCTGCCATCGTTGCTGCCGCATCAGCCGTCGCCACCGCCGTCACAGAAGCCGCCGCCATCGCTACAGCAGCAGCCGTTCGTGGACTCTGGGGGTGCTAGCGTTGAGGAGGGTGCTAGTCCTGGGGTTCCTGTCGTGGCTTGTCCCGGCGGGCTCGGGGGTGGCACCGATGCTGGAGAGGGTTCTCGCTCTGGGGGTGCTCGTTTTGAGGGTGCTGTAGTGAAGTGTTCCAGGGGTCGTCGCGGTGCAGCTGGCGGTCCAGGTGTCGGCGTCAAGCAGCAGCAGGAGCAGTCGCCGCCGGTGTCCGCCCTTCGCCTGCTCGGCCTTCCCTCTCCTGACCGCTCGCCTGCGCCTCCCCCGCCGCCTCCTCCCCTTCCTGTCCACGGTCCTATGTTTCCTCCGCCAGACTCGCCCCCGGCCCGTTTCCCACCTCGTTCACCTCCTGTTACTCCTCCTATGTCTCCTGACCTGACGCCTCCGTCTCACGTCTGGTCTCGCCGTCCCTCTTGGCTCGTCCTGTCTCTCCTATTCAGCGTTCTCACCCTATGTTGTTACGTCCGCACGTGTCTTGTCCTCCTCTCCTGCCTTCGCCTCCTCCGTCGTCGCTCGTTGTCGCGCCTCCCCCTCTGTCTGACTACCTTCATGCTGCTTGTCCTCTTGTTCCTCGAGTCCTTGCCTCCCTCGTTACCGACCCGTCTGTTCCTGTCTCTAGTCTTGATGCTCTTATCGTTGTTGTCGCTGACTTCGCCTCTTCCCGCCGCCTTGACTACACCACCACTCTGGTCTCTGACCCTGTCCGTCCTCTGTCCGTCGGGGGTGCTCCTGCCCTTGGCAGTGACATCCTAGAGGACCGGCAGTACGAGCTTGCTTTCCTGTCCAAGGCCGCACCTCATCTCTGCTCCTTGCTGCTAGTCCGTGAGGGTGACCCAAATGCCTTTGACACCTCGCACCTACGCTGAGGCAACCTCGGGACCCTGGGCCGCTCAGTGGATAGCTGCCATGGACGTAGATATGGCATCTTGGAGATCCACTGGCATTTACGTCGATGCAGTTCCCCCACCTGGGGGTGAACGTAGTCGATGGCCGGTGGCTCTTCAAGGTGAAGCAGCCCCCGGGAGAGCCGCCGGTGTTCAAGGAGCGCTACCTTACTAGAGGCTTCAGTCAGCACGAGGGTGTTAATTTCTTTCAGACCTTCGCTCCGACCCCGAAGATGACTACTCTTCGAGCGCTGCTACACGTAGCAGCACAGCGTGACTAAGAGCTGCACTCTATTGACTTCTCAACAGCGATTCTTCAGGGTAGTCTGCACGAGCAGGTCTACCTGCGACGCTCGCCAGGCTTCACTGGCACCTTCGCCCCGGGGACCCAGTGGCTCCTCCGACGCCCTGTTTACGGCCTGCGGCAGGCGCCGCGCGAGTGGCACGACACACTACGCGCTACATTGGCTTACCTGCAGTTCTTTTCGTCGTCTGCAGTTCTTCTCGTCGTCTTCTTCTGGCCCGGTTCGTAGCGACAGGCAGACACCGACCACAGCAGTGGTCGGCAGCTAAGAAGGTTTTGCGTTATCTAGCAGTTACATCGGGCATGGGGCTAGTTCTAGGAGGATGCAGGCCAGTGGTCCTGACAGGGCACACAGACGCTTCGTGGGCTGACGATGCTCGGGTCCTCTCAGGGCTACTGTTTTTGCCTTGGTGCAGGCGCCATCTCGTGGAGGTCCACCCGCTCGTCGTCTGTTGTACAGTCCAGCTGCGAGGCTGAGATCTACGTCGGTGCCATGGCAGCACAGGAGCTCCGCTGGCTGACTTTCTTGCTCACAGACTTAGGTGAGCGGCCTAGCTCTGCCCCAGTTCTGTACGCTGACAACAGGGCCATGATCCTCATGTGCCAGTAGCCTCGACTAAAGGGCAGAGCGAAGCACATCTAGCTGCGGTACTTCCTCTTACGTTAGCTGCAGCAGCTCCTCGAGGCCTGCGTAGTACACTTGGCCTCCGATGCCAACACAGCTGATATCTTTACTATGGCGCTTGCGCCTAAAGATCATCAGCGGCACTGGGTACAGCTTGGTCTAGTTCCTATAGCTTCTCACTTGCTAGGACCCTGATTGTGTACTCCTTTTATATTCTCTTGACTGGCCTTGTGGCTCCTGTCCTAATGGCTGGACTAGTAGTACCGCCCTGGGTTGCTCTTGTTTAGCTTGTACTCTTGTTGACTGGTCTTCGGACCCTTGCCTCAGAGGTTGGACTAGTAGTGCCACCCTGAGCTGTGTCTCTCTTTCCAGGCACTGCCCGTCATCTAGCCTAGGGGGTGTGTCAAACATATTTGCGTATGTTATAATAGGCTAGATAGGTGCATGCTCTTAGAGGGTACAACCACTTCAACAAAATCATCCTGTTTGCCTCATTCTAGTCAACTTTGCGAGGCTCATGGGATGTCGCACTCAAGGCTGCTAGCTAAAGGGAAATGATCACATGGCGGGGGAGGTTTTCTGATATAGATAAGCAGTGTTACATTATACGAGAGGGGCATATCATGTACGAATACTTGGAAAACTAGACGACACCAATGATGGCGCTACAAGACTACCCCACTTCAACTATAGTATCGTATGCATCATATTGTATAACACAAGAAAGATGAACCGTCCATCCAGTCCACCATACAAAAAGCAATGAAATTAACTAAACAAAGAATACCAGAGGGCCATACGATGATCAACAGCAGAATGAATACGAAATGAGCAGTACTCTGCTCTTCTGGCCACCATATGGTCCTAAACTGACTAGTGCAGACTAAGCCAAACATTTCAATGTGCAAGGCTCTTACTACCCCCGCAAAAGAACAGCTAAAAATGGGCACGCACTCTTACCTGCACACCCCAGTGAAGGATACAGACAGAACTCCAAATTCAACCCCCATCATCACCCAAAGCAGAACCCTGCATGACCATTGACCACTCAAGCCCAACCCCAAAGCATCACCCCAAACCCAAACCCTGAAGCATCACTCAAACCCAAGCCCCCCATCATCCAATCCAACTCCCCCATGTCATTCGGATCAACCTCCCCATCAAACCCCTCAGACCCCATCCCCTCCATCCCCTCCATCCCCTCCATCCCCTCCATCCCCTCCATCCCCTCCATCCCCTCCATCCCCTCCATCCCCTCCATCCCCTCCATCCCCTCCATCCCCTCCATCCCCTCCATCCCCTCCATCCCCTCCATCCCCTCCATCCCCTCCATCCCCTCCATCTCCCCCATCCCCTCCATCCCCTCCAGTCCGCCCAGGCCCACCAGGACCCCAGGCCCTCCGGGGACAGCACCCGAGGCAGCCCCACAAGCTGCTTGGTGTGTTCTGAGTCGACTCAACTGCACGTGGAGACACCCCAGCCCAGCCCAGCCCCATCAGTCAAACCCCAGGCCAGCATCGTCCAGCTCCCCCATGTCCTCCAGGTCTATCTCCCCGTCGAACCCCTCAAACCCCATCCCCTCCATCCCCTCCAGCCCCCCCAGAGACAGGATCCGAGGCAGCCCCCCCGAGCTGCCTGGCGACCCCACGCTCGGATCCCCAAGGTCTTCCGAGGACTCGTCATCCGAACCTGGCTCTGTTGGCACAGGATAAGAGGAGGAGCGGAGCGTGCGTGTGGAGAGGGGGCGGGGATGTGCTTGTATGGAGGTGGTACCATGGTGGCTGTAGGGAGGGGCTGTGGCAGGGTCAGTAAGAGAATCTGCTGAAGTTGCTTGTAATCGTTGCGGCACGGATTTCCCCCCCACTGCTGCTGCTGCTGTTGCTGCTGCTCCTGTTGGTGCTGATCCTGTTGGTGCTGCTCGCATCACTGCATTCCCCGTCTCGCCAATAGACATCCCTCTCCTCCTCTTCCGCCCTACCCTAGCTATGCCCGCACCCTCCTCCTCCCCTGCGCCACTCACTCCCTGCAGCCCCGCACTCTCCCCCAAACCCCCCTCACTTCCCACCAGTCCTGCCTTTCCCGCTCCCGTGTCTGCCATTACTGCTGCCTCTCCCCCCACACCTACTCCAACACCTCGCCCCACTCTACTCCTTCTTCCACCCCTTCCACATCGCCCCACTCCCACGCCCACACCACCCACCAGCCTTCTCCCTCTGCTTCCCCACACGGCCGCCGCTTGTCTCTGCCCCATCCCTCTCATCGCCCTCATTCCCCGGCTTCTTGCCACCACTGCTGCTGCTGCTGCTGGCGCCCTTGCTCTTGTGGATTGCACTCCTCTACCTGAACCCGATGCTCCTGCTGCTCTTGCCACTCCTGCTGCTCCTCTTCCTGCTCCTTTCGCAACAGACCTCCTTCCCGCCGCTGCTCTCTCTGCCCCCACGCCCTCGTCTGCCCCCACACTGGCACCACCCTCTGCTTCACCCCCACCTGGAAGCTCCCTTTCCTTCGCGCCTGCCTGCATTGCTGCACGTGCCACCGTCTCACACTCTGTTTCCCACGTGGCACCTGCATGTCCCTCACCCGCCCCCTCTCTACCAACACGCACAGAAGCTCCTCTTCGCCTTTTCGAGCGTCCTCTGCGCCCATCTTCCCCTTGCTGCTGCTGCTGCTGCTGCTGCTGCTGCTGCTGCTGCTGCTGCTGCTGCTGCTGCACGGATTCGTCCCTGAGTTCCTCCACAGAACGGGATGGGTGTGGCCTCTTTCTCAATCGCTCAGCGTCTCGTGTTGCTGGTGCTCCTGCTGCTGCCATCCTGGCATCACCAACAGCTGGAGATACTGTTGCAGGAGCACCACCAGCGCCACCACCACCACCGCCAGCGCCACCAGCGGCAGCAGCACCACCACCACCAGCACCAGGAGCAGCCCTGGCCCCTGACCGCCTACCCCCTCTCACCATACCTGGCGGTTTCGGGTGCGGAGGGGTGGGGGGCGTTGGTGGCCGAATCAAAGTGTCGGTGGTCAATCCGGGCTGCAAAGCGGGAGTGGCAGCAGCAGCGACAAAATCAGCAGGAGCAGTATTAGCAGCAGGGGCGGCAGGAGCAATACCATGCGAAACAACGGCAGCAGTAGCTGTGAAATGGTTAGTATCAGCTGAAGCTGCAGCAGCAGCACCAGCAGCAGCACCAGCAGCAGCAGCACCAGCAGCAGCAGCACCAGCAGCAGCAGCACCAGCAGCAGCAGCACCAGCAGCAGCAGTACCAGCAGCAACAGCCCCAGCAGCTGCATTGGCGGAAGCAGTTATCACATAGGCTGGCTGATCCATGTCAGCTAGGAGAGCGCTGACGTGGCGGCGCTCCCTCTCAAGAGCTGCTCGGATTGCTGCCAGCTCAGCTGGGCTGTGCGAGAGGATGAGGCGCAGGGAAAGGCTCTGCAGGGCCTGATGGTGGTGAAGGGGAAGCAACGGAGCAGGAAAAGCTTTTCTAGAGGGCTTTCTTAAGTCAAATCTCGCTTGAGGGGTGCCTAACGAGCAGCTGGCAGCTTATTCGGGTTGCGAGAAAGAACGAGGCGCAGATAGAGCCTTGGAAGAACAGCACAGTGTGGCGGTGAAGGGAGGACCCACGGGCCCAGAGGAGCGGGGAAGGGATGAGCAGAGCATGATGCAGGGTTGAACTGCAGGATGATGGCTCGCAGGGTGGGGGAAAACAGGCATTGAAAAAGTGAGACCGGGTGGAAAATTACTGACCTGTACCTTGCTCTCATCGCCCTTGACAGCGGCTGCTGCCTCTGAAGCCGCCACGGCCACAGCAGCGGTGAGAGAGGGCGCGGGCAGCACGTGCTTCAAATCAGCCACCCAGGGAAATAGCGCTTCCACAGGGGGGGTGGTGGGGGGGAGGGCGGAAAAGGAGTCGGGAGAAGGGGAGGAGGGCGATGGGGATGTGAGGGAGGTGTGTGATACAGGGTTGGCTGGCGATGCTGCTGCTGGTTGTGTGTGTCGCTTGGAGTTGGGGTGGGAGGCGAATGATGCCAGTGCAGCCACTGCTGAGGCACTGAGGTGCAAGGGGGAGGGAGAGGATGATGGGAGGGGAGGGAGAGGAAGAGAGTTGAGGGAGGCGAACCGACACCGGGGAAGCATGTCACTTTGTTGGCATGTTGAAACATCATAATGTTTCCAAGCTGCAAAGAAGTGTTACTGTGTCAGCATAGGCATAGCATGCTACCAAGTTACCACGTTCCGACATCAGCAACTCACGCGTTCCCAACCGCCTCCTTGGGCCGCGCCTCAAGCCACTTGCTGACGTCATCCTGCAGACACGTCCACAGCTCCAGCAGAGTGCTGTGACAGCTGGCACCATGCACCCCTGCCACGTCAGCACCATCAGAGTCGGTGCCCCCAGCAGCGGCAGAGGTGGCACCACCGCTGCCAGCAGAACTTCCGCCCATAGCAGCAGCAGCAGGAGCAGCAGCATAAGCAGCAGCAGAAGCAGCAGCGGCAGCAGCAGTAGTTGGAGCAGAAGAGCTACGAGCGGCAGCAGCAGTGGCGGTGGTGATGCGGAGGGCCCACTGGTGGTCGGAGAGCAGAGCAGCATCGCGCAGGAGGAGGTAGGCGCGGAACTCGTGCAGGCGATGCAGCAAGTCCTGGGGGGGGCAACACGGGAGAGTGGGGGGGGGCATGGCACAGACGGCATCTTCAGTGAGGCGCCTCAGCGCAGAGCACCATGGTGCAGGAGACGGTAGAAGCAGAAGGCGTGCAGGCGGTGCAGCAAGTCCTGGTGCAGGAAGTAGGGTTAAGAACAGAGGCAAGGAGGACATAGCATATGGGGGGCTTGCACGCTCTAGCCTCTGAGTGTGTGTGATCTCCTCCGCGAGGCGGGCGACACCAGTGGAACAGATGGAGTGGTGCCGGCCAGAGAGCACACAGAAGAGGCAGCAGCAGAGTCGGAGAAAAGGAGCGCACACAGCAGGAAAACAGACATGTGGCTGAGAAAGGACTGAAGTATCTGTGATGATACATGCTTGTGATGATACATGCTTGTGATGATACATGCTTGTGATGATACATGCTGGTGATCATACATGCTTGTGATGATACATGCTTGTGATGATACATGCTGGTGATCATACATGCTTGTGATGATGCATGCTTGTGATGATACATGCTTGTGATGATACATGCTTGTGATGATGCATGCTTGTGATGATACATGCCTGTGATCATACATGCTTGTGATCATACATGGTTGTGATCATACATGCTCGTGATCATACATGCTTGTGATCAGACATGCTTTTGATGACACATGCTTGTGATGACACATACTTGTGATGATACATGCTTGTGACGATACATGCTTGTGATGATACATGCTTGTGATGATACATGCTTGTGATGATACATGCTTGTGATGACACATGCTTGTGATCATACATGCTTGTGATGATACATGCTTGTGATGATACATGCTGGTGATCATACATGCTTGTGATGATGCATGCTTGTGATGATACATGCTTGTGATCATACATGCTTGTGATGATGCATGCTTGTGATGATACATGCCTGTGATCATACATGCTTGTGATCATACATGCTTGTGATCATACATGCTTGTGATCATACATGCTTGTGATCATACATGCTTGTGATGACACGTGCTTGTGATGACACATACTTGTGATGATACATGCTTGTGACGATACATGCTTGTGATGATACATGCTTGTGATGATACATGCTTGTGATGATACATGCTTGTGATGACACATGCTTGTGATCATACATGCTTGTGATGACACATGCTTGTGATCATACATGCTTGTGATGACACATGCTTGTGACGATACATGCTTGTGATTAGACTTGAGCATTTTACCCGGTCGGGTCGCGGATACCCGACCCGACCCGACATTTTGGCCGGGTCGGGTAATAGAATTTTGACAAATTACCCGGCGGGGTCGGGTCGGGTAATCGCGCCGGGTAATGCATACCCGTTACCCTGAAATTACCCGAAATGTCGGGTAATTTACTACCCGTCGGGTCGTGGATGCCCTACCCGACCTCGGGTTTATTACCCGATGTCGGGTCGCGGGTACCCGACCCGGTTTCGGGTCGCGCAATTACCCGACGCCAACCAGCGCGTCAATTTTCGCAGTGGTTGGGAAATTTCGACCATAAAGTCGAAATTTCCCACGATTGTTTCCCTTCTCAGTTGCGTTCAACCTAAGCCTACCCTAACATGCACCTAGGAGCATTCCGCAGCGGGTCTACTACAAACCGCTCCTTGTTTTAACGAATCCTAGGGCAATGGAGTAGACAAGGGCTACACCTTGCGTTTTTTGCTGCCTAGCCGTCCGTTTTAGGGTTTCGTCACCCCTGCCTGAAGTTAGAGCGTAGGACACACTGGAATCGCGGATTCGACACCGAGAGGGCGTTAAACACGGAATAGTTTGTTCCCTCACGCGTAGACAAGGGTTTAGGTGCGCTGCTTGCTCGACAACCCGCGTTGTGCGTTTAGGGATTGACGGACAGGAGGGTCATGGTGCTACTGTACGACAATTGAGACGGGGTGTCTATGGCCGACCAGGATCTGGCTGCCGAAGGCGGAGGCGCCACGGCTGAGGAGGGGGGAGGACAGGCCAGCAATCGCATACAAGGCGCGTCCCTTGGAGCTCTCCCTCTACTCGCACAGGACCAGAGCTTTGCTCTGGGGAGTGGAGTTCGTGGGGTCGGAGAGGAGGCGAACGTGCAAGCAGTGGAGCCCGGTGAGGGGGGCGCTCTGCCAGGTGGGGGAGGAGGACAGCAGGTTGGGCAGCGTCCCAGTGGTGGTGGTGATCAAGATTGGCAGCCGGGTGCAGACAACGTGGTGGATCTCTCAGGAGAGGATGCATCCCCTGCCACGCAGGCAGTGGGTCGCCCGAGAGCCGCAAACCAGGGGGGCCAACCTCAAGGGCGTCCTAGGGGCCGGGGAACGGCGGTTCAGGGGGGGGTGCGGGAGCGGGGCGGCGTGCTGCGCGCGGCCGTCCCAGAGGGCCAGCAAGGGGTCTTGGGCGGGGTGCAGAGGGAGGTGAGGAGGTCGTTGCGGAGGATGCCCGAGATGGGGGTGTTGGGGCGACTCCCCGTCGGGCGGGCGCAACAGGGCGCAGGGGAGGGGCTGCAGGGACCGGTGCAGGGCGGGTGAAGCGGACGCGGGTGGGGGAGGATGGCGAACTTGTTCCAGGCTACTGGGGTACCATCCCTGGCTTGATGCAGGGTATGTTTTACAAGCCGGAAGGGTGAGGCCTCGCGTGTGTGCAAGGTATGCGAGGAGGAGTTCTACTGGGACCGGAGCAGTACGTCGACCGGATGGAAGCATGTGCGGGCGAAGCACATGCCTCACCTCCAGATATGGCATCGCAAGTTTACAGCCCCGGACAAGAAGCCCGAGCCCTGGGAGCATGTGGAGGCGTATCCTAACATCCCGGGGTTACGTGAGGGCACCGGGACACCCGCGGCCGAGCGTGGGCAGTGCGTCATCGGCTAGTTCTTCACGCGGCGGGTGTCCTTGGAGCGTCTTCGGCAGGCGTTGGTTGAGCTGTTCGCCGACGCCTGCCTGCCCTTACGCCTCGTCGACCGGCCCTCGGTGAGTCATAACACTTGGTGGTGCTTACCAGCTCTAGTGCCTTGTCATATCGTCATCCGTCGTGTGCTCTGACTCCATGCCTACGCCAAAGACTCAGGGTTCCTCATGCGCGTGTACCTGCCCCTAACCCCATCCCACCCCACCCCACAGTTCCGTCGATATACTGCACTCCTGAACCCGCCGGCCGCAGAGCTGCTAGGCTCTCGTTTCCGCCTGGCCCGTGACATGCTACTGACTCGGGAGGGTGCGCGCGAGCAGCTGCACCAGGAGATCACGGGGGACGGGGCTGCGGGGAAGGTGTCACTGACAACAGACATTTGGTCTAGCCCTGCCCAGGATTCATTCATGGCCGTCACAGCCCACTGGATCACATCGGACTTCCAGCTGCGAGTGGCGCTGCTGGAGTTCGAGGAGCTGCAGGGCTCCCACACCGGCGTGATGATTGCAGAGACCTTGGAGCGGATCATTGCAGACTGGGGCCTGAAGGACCACGTGCTCGGCATCACGACAGACAATGCCGAGAACAACGTGAAGGCCCTAAAGATCCTCACTGCCGATCCTGACACCCCCGAGGTGCGGGCCGTCGCCGTCATCAACCCTCGATTCTTCTTCAGGTGGGTCACCATGGCATGGCATGACACATGTCTAGCAAGGCATGGCATGCCACATGTCCAGCATGGCATGGCATGCCACATGTCCAGCATGGCATGCCACATGTCCAGCATGGCATGGCACATGTCCAACATGGCATGGCATGCTACATGTCCAGCATGGCATGGCATGCCACATGTCCAGCATGGCATGGCATGCCACATGTCCAGCATGGCATGGCATGCCACATGTGCAGCATGGCATGGCATGCCACATGTGCAGCATGGCATGGCATGCCACATGTCCAGCATGGCATGGCATGCCACATGTCCAGCATGGCATGGTATGCCACATGTCCAGCATGGCATGCCACATGTCCAGCATGGCATGGCAAAGGTGTACTGTACTCTGCCCACATGTCCATCATTGCACAGCATGGAGCATGCACTTCATGGTGGACAGCTGGTGGGTCTTGGTTTAAACCTATCTGTCCACCACAAACAACTCTCCCCCCCAACCCACCCCAAGGTGTCTGGCGCACATCCTAAACCTTGCAGTGCAGCGGGCTCTGGGGTTGCCAGCAGTGGCAGAGCCACTACGCCACATGAGGGAGCTCGCGTCGTACATTGGCTGGTCATCTACCAGGTCCCCCACATTTGAGGTGGAGCAGGCGCTTGTGTTCCCGCCCGGCACCCCGGTTCTCCGATTGGTCAATGACACCCTCACTCGCTGGGGATCGTCTTACGAGATGATTGCCTGTGCGCTGAAGCCGAAACCAGCGCTCACACTCTTCTTCTCCCGGCCTGAGGTATTTGACTTTGTTACCATTTCCCCATCATTCGTCTCGTTCCAAAGTCCAAGCTCGTTCCCGGTTCAATTATAGTCTTCCCTCTGCATGGAGTTGCTGATTTCCCCACCTCCCCGCCCCATTGTACCCCTCCCCACCACCCTCCCGCCCGCACCATGCCTCATAGGTTGGTGTCCCCAAGCGGGCACGGGCGGCCCGGTGCAAGCTCGGGGATGCGCACTGGGAGGCAGCTGAGGTTCTGGCCAAGTTCCTGAAACCATTCAATGACATCACCATGGCGGCAGAGGGGTCCTTGTACCCCACTGCCGCCGAGGTGGTACCACAGTATAACCTCCTCATAGATACCCTCGAGGCCTCGTTCCACAACCCGAGCACCAAGGCGTTGCGCAAAGAGATGGACAGGGAGGGGCTGGTGGTCCTGAAGAAGTATTTGTACGGGATTAGTGACGAGTTGGTTGTGGCGACGTTCTTGGACTCCCGGTTCAAGAACGCATACTTCAAGCTGAAGAGGTGGGAGGGGGCGAACCCGACACTGGTGGCGGCGGTTGCTGATGGACCTAGGGTAGTCAAGGATGTGAGCGAGGCGGATGGCAAGGCGTTGGTGCGCTCTCGCCTCTAGTCGTACCTTGACGAGCAGCGCCGCCGAGCCGTGGGCACAGGGCAGGAGGGCACGAGTTCTGGCATTACGAGCGGGGAGGGGGAGAGTGGGCTCGGAAAGGAGGGTGCCAGGAGGGGGGCCGCTGGGTGGCGCTTGACGAACTTGCTTGGCTCGCAGATGGACCTGATGGATGAGGAGGCGGGTGTGCAGCAGGTGGATGAGGTGGAGAGGTATCTGGGTGCGCAGAGGCTAGCCATGGAAAAGTGCCCTCTCACATGGTGGCGCTCGCGCACCTCGCTACCGGGGCTGCAGGCCATGGCTCGCGATTACCTTGCCATCCCTGCAACCTCGGCACCGAGTGAGGGGGCGTTCAGCCAGGGCCGAAACATTGTCAGCTTGTAGCGTCATCGGTTAAGCCCTGCTCAGGTGCACGCAACCATGAGTATCAAGTCACGGATGACTCAGCACGCGGACGCCAAACTCCCCGTGGCACATCAGGGTGGGGGGTCGGGGGAGGTGTGTATTGAGGGTGATGACGAGGGGCTGTGAGGGAGGAGGGGCATTGGTCACATTGTGGATTTACTTAAACTCTCCTTGGTATGCGACTCCCTAACACACTTGGGGGAGGCTACTACATCTCTTATCTTCGCATTCTATGTGAGGGTGCACACTCACTTGAGACCTCATGTTGACATGGTACAGTAGCTTAGGCTTGAGCATACTACCCGCCCGGGTCGGGTACCCGATACCCGGATCCGCTTTTAGGGCGGGTCGGGTATAGGGAATCCTGAAAATTACCCGGCGGGTCGGGTCCGGGTTACCCGGGCGGGTATTCGATACTCGTTACCCGAAACGTTACCCGACACGTCGGGTAACGGGTACCCGACCCGAAATCGGGTAGAGTGTCTACCCGCGGAACCAGCGCGACATTGGTCGCGCTGGTAGAGAAATTTCTTAGGTTACGTGAGCTGCTAGGTCACGTAGAGCATTGTAGAGTGGCAGGGGTTGGATTTCGTAGATCCAGATGCATTCAGAGCGGTTGAATTGGGGGAAATTGGTTAGAATTCAAAACAATCGAATTTCCCCCATCGATTTTGCAACCCAACCTGAATCCAGCCAACCGCACAGCACCACATTGGTTGGAGTTCCAACCAATTGACTCTGGGGGTCAAAATATCAAACCCCCAAAAACCGCACACAACCCCATCCCAACTAGAAAACCCAACCACCTCGCCACTCACGCCCTACTCACTTGAACTGTAAAAGATCTCGTGCACCTCTTACTGCCTCCCGCGACTCACGTTTTTAGGTCGTAGGTTTAGCCCAGCACGGTAGGAAAACGAGGGTAATACTACCTGCTTATCAAGGGAACCCGGTCGGGTATACCCGGACCCGCCAGGCGGGTATAAAATTACCCGCCGCCAAATCACGGGTCCGGGTATTGGTCATGGGCATGTTACCCGACCCGCACCCGACCCGAAAATACCCGACTCGAAGTCGGGTATAGCAAAACCGGGTCGGGTCGGGTAAATACCCGGTTTTGCTCATGCCTAATTGCAACAGAAGTACAATGCAGTTTTTACTTGGAAAATTGAGTAAGAGTAGTTGTTGTTTGGAGCTGTGTGGATTTGTGGAAATTAGGCGTAGTTAAGTACCTCTTTGAATTCGTCGTGCCGCCAACCAGTTTTGCGGAAATCACGTCGTAGGAAATTGTTAGGAACGCGTAAACGTGTTTCTGATTGTTAGGGATTGGTTGGCTTGCTGGCTGCACTTTCGTCGCAAGCCACAATCACCAACTTCTGCCAGTGCGTCGAAAGTCACATTTAGGTGCGACGAAATTTACAATCTATTGACTGGTTGACGAAATTACCGCGTGCGCGAAATCTCGTCTCTGCTGCTTGACGCGCCGGCAATCCAACCAGTCGACGGATTTGTGCGCGTGGTACTCCAACCAGTCAACGTCAACCCCCTACCTAACCCAACCCAACCCTCCTCGACATTCAATTCCCCTTCCTTCCTCGACGAATGTCAGTCGCTACCCTATCTCCAGTAGCAACTAAGTTAAGTCTAAGTCGCATCCTAGGACTATTAGCGCGCCTTCGACCAGCGCGACGAATCTACGTGCGCCATAGTTCACGACAGGGTAGATCTGCGCGAACCGTGGGCAACGATAATCCAGGCGTAGTTGCAGATCGCGTAGCTGTAGAACGCGGTTTTCGGAGGGAAAAAAATTGCCCGGAAAAAAATTTCAGGGCCTGCCCGGCGACGTAAACGTAACGTACGCGTAACGTAACGTAAACGTAACGTTACGCGTACTCTACGTTTACGTCACCTAAAGTGACGTAAACTACCAACTTAGAACCAACTCCCCTCCCTCAACCGCACGGCACTCCTTTTCAACTAGAAATTCCAACCCTTACTCTCCAAGCTCCTCACAAACACCTCCCCGTCAATTACGCCAACCCCAAACAGCCGTGCGCAATTTCCGCACGCCATTACAATCAGAGAACCCTAAATTTTGCTAAGTTCAGGGCCCACGCCCATATTCCCCCCCCTTTCTGGCGCAATTCCGCGACGCGATATGCGAATGTATGGCGCGCGATATTTTAATATCGCATATCGCGTTTTATCGCGCTGAAAAAACCGCGATAAATGCGCGATATCGCAAAAATTGCGCGATATTATCGCATCGCATCGCTGCGGTTTTTTATTAAAAATCATAAAAATCGCAATCGCAAAATGCGATAAAACGGGATGCGATGCGATATACCTAACGCTTGTGATGACACATGCTTGTGATGACACACACTTGTGATGACACACGCTTGTGATGACACATGCTTGTGGACACATGCTTGTGATGACTCATGCAAGAACGCAACACCAACCAGGGCGTTGCAGCTGTCCTTCACGGCCCTCCGCCACGCCGCTCTCCGGTTCCTCCACCCAGACCTGACGCCCAGCCATGGTATCCGAGCCTCCAATTGAGCCATGTCCCGCCGAACCTGCCGAACCACATCCCTCTCGCGTATTCGCTCTCCTCCTCGCCCTCCACCACTCTCTGCAGCCACCCCTGCAGCACCCAGGCCTCCTCCCACCCTTCCATGTGGGTATGTCTCGGCACATCCATACCGTCCCCTCTGCTCCCGACTCCTGTGCCTCAGATCACGCTGCATGTCTCCCTCCCTCCCCTCGCCCCCTCCCATCCCATCACCTGCCCTCTCGCCTTCACCTGCATCCATCCCTCGGCGCTCATAGGCTCTTCGGTCCCCATCCCCACCGCCATTGCCTAAGCCAAAACTACCCACTCCTCCCTCTTCCTCCTCAGCTTCCTCCTCTTCCTCCTCGTTATCTGCCTCCTCATACTCATCCTCCTCATACTCTTCCTCCTCATACTCTTCCTCCTCTTCCTCCTCGTCTACCTCCTCGTCCACCACCCACATTTCCTCCTTCTCCTCCCCCTCATCCTCCTCCTCCTCTTCCGCATTGCCCTCAGCCGTGTCCCAGCAGTACTCTTCATCCTTAACCCTCCCGCTCCTCCTCCGCCTCCCCCTCCTTCTCACACCCCCCTCCTCAGCCCGCACACCATCTGCCTCTGCCTCCTGCCCTCCTCCTTCCCTTCTCAGACTGCTCTCCTCTGCTCCTATCTCCACCCCTCTGCCCCACGCCCTCCGTCCCCTCCCCCTTACTCGCGTGAAGGGAGCTGAGGTCAGCCCATCAGCCGTAGGCTTGGTGTGGAGGCGCACACTGCTGGGTGCTGCTGCTGTTGGGGTTGAATCAACAGGACCAGCTGCAGCACAAACCCCCTTATCCTGCTGCTGCTGCAGCTGCTGCGTCTGTTTCCATGTTTGCGTGTGTGCGCGCGTGAGTGCAGCAGCGGCAGGAGGTGAGTGGGCAAGAGCACGAGCGAAGAAGCGGCCTGTGTGAGCGTGAGGGCTGCGCATGAAGGACTGCATGGGCAAGGAATTGGGAAGGGACGGGTGAGCATGGAGAGAGAGAGAATGGGGAAAAGGGGGAAGGGTAGACATGAGCAAAACCGGGTAATTACCCGACCCGACCGGTTTAGCCCTACCCGCAATCGGGTCCGGGTCGGGTCGGGTCGGGTAATTTCCGGGTAATGTTTGGAGGTCTGTTACCTGACCCGACATTTTAATACCGGGTAATTGGGTACCCGTCTGTCGGGTCGGGTATACCCGACCCGCATTTAATTGAAGTCGGGTAATATTACCCGGGTACCCCCAGGTGGCTGTAGAATTCAGCAAACCCAGAGTAACAAACCCAAAGTCGGGTCGGGTACCCGCGACCCGACGGGTAATAAATTACCCGACATTTCGGGTAATTCTCGGGTAACGGGTATGCATTACCCGGCCCGAGTACCCGACCCGACCCGGCCGGGTAATTCGTCAAAATCCTATTACCCGACCCCGCCAAAATGTCGGGTCGGGTCGGGTACCCGCGACCCGACCGGGTAAAATGCTCAAGTCTAGGGAAGGGGTTCGAGCGAAAGAAGTGAGCGGCTATGTTGGCATAAACGTGTTTCTGCGTTTTTGCGTTTCGTTCTGAACGCTTGCGTTCAGGACGCAAAACGCAGGATTCCAGGCTTCAAATACGCTCGAAAAACGCCTGCCCGGGCAGGCGGGAAATTTGGCCCGGGCAGGGGACGCCATGCTAGGGGCTCGAAGTCAGGTAGCTTAGGTGCTGGAAGGAAGAACGTAAGAGTACTAGATCGTCAATGCATGTAAGGTGAGCGAATTTCTCCTCTACAGATAGATCTGGATCAAGCGGGGGGGGAATGGGTTGGGATTTTCAACACGTTGGGAAAAGGAAGGGAGGGATTGATGAGTTATCGTGTCGCTATGAAAAGTTTCACGACTGCACGACGACGAATTTGCGACGCGCGAAACGTGTTGGCGTTTCGCGACGCGTGGCGAAATGTGCTTTCGATTCGCGACTTTGTGGGTTTTTTTTGCGTTTTTTTGTTCCGGGCAGCCCAAAAAATTCCAAGGTGCGTTCGAGCGTTTTGATGCGTTTTTGCGTATTGCGTTTAAACGATTGCGTTTAAACGCAAAACGCTAACTCACAAAAGCGTTTTTGTCAACACTGGTGAGCGGGAAGCAAGCATAGGAGGCAGGGGCCAAGGAACCAGCAGAGCGCGTGCTTTGGAACACGGAGATTGGTCACCATGTGAGGGCAGCACAGGGGGCTGGAACAGAGCAGGCTGGAACGGAGCAGACCGGAACAGAGCAGGCTGGAACAGAGCAGGCTGGAACAGAGCAGGCTGGAACAGAGCAGGCTGGAACAGAGCAGGCTGGAACAGAGCAGGCTGGAACAGAGCAGGCTGGAACAGAGCAGGCTGTAACAGAACAGATTGGAACAGAGCAGGCTGTAATAGAGCAGACTGTAATAGAGCAGGCTGGAACAGAGCAGGCTGTAATAGAGCAGGCTGTAATAGAGCAGGCTGTATTAGAGCAGACTGTAATAGAGCAGACTGTAATAGAGCAGACTGTAAAAGAGCAGGCTGTAATAGAGCAGGCTGTAATAGAGCAGGCTGTAATAGAGCGGGACTACAAGCACACATGAGGATACACTCAGCACAACACATAACGCACAACGCACCATGCGGCGTCCACCTGGCCCCTGCAGAAAACCCCCCCTTTGCCTCCCTCCTCGTCCTCTCATTCTTACCCCTCCCCCCCTCCTCCGCCCTCTCCTTCCCCTGCCCACCTCCTTTCCCACGCTCGCTTCTCCCTCTGACTCTGTGCCCCCTTGTCCTTCTCCCGTGCCTCCCATCCCCACACGTATCACCTCTTCCTCTTCTACTCTCTGCCACGTGTCTACCCCTGATTGGCCCCACTCTTCTTTGCTCTCTGTCTCCTTCGCCATCCCTCCTTCCTCTCCCTCCCTTTCCGCTTCGCCCCTCTCCTCGTCCGCCTCTTCCTTCCCATCCTCAACCGTACCACGCCCACAAACACTCCTGCCTCTTCCCTTTCCGGCGTTCTCACCCTCCCCTGCCCCTTCACCATGTCTTTCCTCCTCACTCTTCCCTCCCTGTTCTCCCTCCCCCCTCTGGCCATACTCCTCACTCTCCCTCATCTGCCGTCGCTCACCACCCTCACCCTCCTCCCTACGCTCCCTGCCCCCCCTGTCCGTGCTTGAAGGCACACTTTGATCGCTCTTCTTCTGTGCACGGCCAAATCGTCTGTCAATGCGACCTCTGCTCTGCTCCCCTGCTCCAGCCCTACCAGCACCAGCACCAGCATCAACACCAGCACCAGCACCAGCACCAGCATCAGCAGCAGCATGACCACCAGCAGCGCCAGCATCTGAGACGGCAGCCAAGCGTGTTCCATCTTGCTGTTCTCTGCCTGCCTCAGATGCCTTCCCAAACTGCTCCTGCTCCTGCCTCTGCTCCTCCTGCTCCTCCTGCTGCACCTCCTCTTCCTGCTGCTGCTGCTGCTGCTGCTGCTGCTGTTGCTGCTGCTGCTCTCCCGCCTCCTTGGCTGCCCCCACTTGGCTTCCCTCCATGGACGGCCGTTGTCTCTCACTCCCTACTCCTCCACGCTCCACCGCCAATCCCACTCCTTGCAAACCCCCGCTTCCTGAACCAAATTCTTCCAACACCCCTTCTCCCTCACTCTCATCAGCACTGGCGACTCCGTCCGCAGCCATAGCCCCGCCAGTCATAGCCGGCCCGGCTGCAGCAGCACTAGCACCAGCAGCAGCACCAGCACCAGCAGCACCAGCACCAGCAGCACCAGCACTAGCAGCAGCAGCAGCAGCAGCAGCACACTCTCCTGCCTCAGCTACCCCCACGCCCAGCCCCACGTCCCCCTCACCACCACCCTCGCCTGTATCACGGAAACTGGTTTGACTAAAACGCAGCCCCTTCCCTCGACCCAGCCCCTGCCTCAAGCCCAGCCTGTGCTGACCCATTTTATGCGGGCCAATACCACCATCACCATCAGCATCAGCATCACCATCAGCATCACCATCAGCATCAGCATCAGCATCACCATCACCATCAGCATCACCATCATCACCAGCACCGCCACCGCCACCATCACCAGCGCTCGTGCCTATGCATCTTTGCCCAAACCCGTCTCCCACCATCCTGTGCGCATCCCTCCTCCTCTCATTCACTCCTTCATCCCACCCTTCCTCCCCGTCCCCCTCGCCCTCCTCTTGCTTCCCTGCTCCCTCCGCTTCCTCTTCCTCTTCCTCCCCGCCCCCGTGTCCCGCACCTTGAGCATTCCCCTCCTCGTCCACCACCCCTTCCTCCGCACCCTCCTCATCTCCCTCCTCATCTCCCTCCTCACTTCCCTCCTCAATCCCCTCCGCATTGCCCTCCTCGTTGTCCTCCGCGTTCTCCCCCTCATCCACAAGCCCTTCTCTCATGCGCTCCTCAACTGCCTTCCCCTCGCCCCCCCCCCCTCCAGCACCCCCGTGCTCCCCTCCCCTCTGTCCTCTTCTTCCACCTCCACCTCATACTCGCTTGCTGGGGACGTTGCTGCAGGCGCAACTGGTGCAGGCGCAACTGGTGCAGGCCCACTTGGTGAGAAAAGGGGTGCGGAAAGAGCAGCTGGAGCAGGGAACGCTGGTGCTGGTGGTGCGACTGCAGCAGGCGCAAGTGGTGCGGGTGCAAGTGGTGCGGGTGTGAGCACGAGTGTTGGCAGCGGCGGCAGGACAACGGATGGGGGCGCTGGGCTCTTCCTCCTCAGCAGATCAAGCGCCGTCATCTGGCCATGGGGCATCACAGGGCCATGGAGCATCACAGGGCCACGGAGCATCACAGGGCCACAGGGAGAGAGTGGGGAGGAGGGGGAGGGAAGGGCGGAGGGGGGGGAGGAGGGGGGAGAAGGAGAGGGGGGGAGAAGGAGAGGAGGGGGGGATGAATGACGTAAGATAGTGATGGAAGTACGGAGCAAAAGGTAGACGGTTACCCGACCTCGTCTTGAGATCAAACAGAGGGACTCACGAGCACTGATCTGGCGCAAGCCCATGGAGGAGCCACGCTTTACAACGTGCACACCAAGTGCCATGCAAGTCGTTTCAAAGACTCTGGAATCGCTAACCAAGCAGGCACTTGACCAATGCACCAGGTGCATGCAGCGACACGGGGGCATGGGTTGGGCGAGTAGCATAGGTTGGGGCAGCAAGGGCACACCAGAGAGCACGGATGGGGGTTTGCAAGCGGCGAATGTGGCGCTGACTCACTTTGGGGGAGGCGGAGCCACTGCTGCTCGCAGCTGCCACTCTCGTGCCCTCGTGCTCTCGTGCTCTCGTGGCCCCGTTCGTGCGCCTGCAGCCCGAGGGTCCCCCGCCCCCACTGCAACGAGCCAGCCCCAGCGCCATGGCATCCTGCAGCGCCGTCATCCCTTGCAGCGGCACAGCAGCATCCGCAACGCTGTCGCTACCCAAACCATGCTGTGCGTCAGTGCGAAGGGTTGAGCCCGCATGCCCCGTCGAACCTGCCCCTAGCCTCCTCTTCTTCCTCACTCCCTCCTCCCTGCACTCCCCTGCTCTCCGCTTCCCTTCAGCCCCTAATTCTGCTGCCTGTTCTTCTCGCACTTCTTCCTCCTCCCTTTCCTCATCTCCTTCCTTTTCCTCCTCCTCCTCGCCTCCTGCTTCCTCCTCGCCTTCTGCTTCCTCCTCGCCCTCATCATCCTCTCCCTCGTCACCCTCGCCCTTATCACCCTCTGCCTTATCATCCCCTCTTTTCTCCCCACCCTCATCCCCCCCTTCTCCACCTCCTCCACCCCCGAATCCATCCCATTCACCGCCCCCTCCGCCCTCGCCATCCTCCCCCCTTCCCCCATTCCCATCCCCCCCGCGCCCCTCCTCTCGCCGCCCCCCATCCCCCCCACGCCCCTCCTCTCGCCGCCCCCCATCCCCCCCACGCCCATCTGATTCCCCTTCCTGCGCCCCCCGTCCCTCCTGCCTGCCCCCATCTCCCACGTCTTCCCCTTCTCCCACGACTTTTGCTTCTGCTCCCAATTTCTCTGTTTGACCCAACAGTAGGTCAGGAGGTGGGTCAGGTGAAGGATCAGGTGAAGGATCAGGTGAAGGATCAGGTGAAGGATCAGGTGCTGAATTACGTGACGGATCAGGTGAAGGATCAGGTGGTGGTGAGCCTTGTCCCTCAGACGGCGATGAAGGTGGATAAATGTCAGCAATCACAGGTGGACGCGGTGGCACGGGATGGCCTGGCTCTGCATGCATGTTATGGCTGCGCACAATGTGAGCAGCACAGGCTGATGTGAGTGTGCTGGCACTGGCTGCATGCGCAGATGTGTGTGCATGAGTCCCAGGAGCAGCAGCATCAGCAATGGCATCACAAGAGTCCCCGTCCACCCCAGTACCACATGCACCAGCATCACCATCCGCATCACCACCAGCACCAGCCTCGGCACCATTGCCAGCGTCACCTGCACCGTTCTCAACACCAGTCCCTGTCAAGGCGCCCTTGCCACCAGCAGCACCACCAGCAGCAGCAGCCCAAGCAGCAGCATGCTGAGCTGCAGCCTGTCCACAAGGCCCTGCAGAACCTGCAGCAACAGCAGGGGCGTTCATAACACTGGCAGTAACAGCAACACCATCAAGTGCGCTGGCAGCAGCAGCATTGCCAGCAATTGTGGCAGCCGCAGTGGTAGCATTGGCAAGGCCATGGCACGCTGTAGGAGCTGTGGAGCGGGCATCAGCTGGGAGCAGTGAGTCTGTGAAAAGAGCCCGAGCGGTAGACCAAGGGAGATGATGGGCTGGAAACTGCCGAGGCAGCACGCACACTGCTGCCGCTGCTCCTGCTGGTGCTGCTGCTGCTGCTGCTGGTGCTGCTGTTGCTGCTGGAGCCGTTGCTGCTGATTCTGCTGCCACCGCTGCTGCTTTAACTGATCCGTTTGTCGTAATAGCTCTCAAATCCCATGCTTCGCCCACTGGCAAGCAGCCACTAGCCATGCTGTAATCGGTGCAGTGCTTGCTTCTGTTGACTAACTCCTCCACTTTTAGACGCCCAGGCTGGCTGCCCTCCCTAGCTGCAGTAGCACACGCTGTATCCAGAGTGCATGTGTGCAGTGTGCCTGTACCTGGAGTGACTGTACAGAGAACATTGCTCCTCTCTCCTTGCTCAGAACTGGTCGAACCACTCAAGCCCGCTGCCGTCAATGCCGCCCCCCCCACGTGACAAGTCCTCCAGACCGAGGTCACCGTACTCACAGGGAAAGGCGTCGCTGAAGTCGCCCTCTGCATCCCCTGCGAAGCAGATCGCATCACGGGCAGCATCGCCTGCGGCGGCTGCTGCTTCGGTGATGGCAACCAGTTCTCCTGGGATGGAAGACGGCTCCTTGCTTCCTGCGATGCCTGCAGTACCTGTGATGCCTGTGCTGGTGAAATCGGTGCTGCTTCTGTAGGGGGGGCACAGCCGTTTCCCGAGCCCTTGCTGCTGTCCATGCCGCTCTTGCTGCCAATGGTACTTTCAGGCAGATGCATTGACGCCTTCACCTCCTCTGCACCAAACTGCTGCACCTGCTGCTGCTGCTGCTGCTGCTGCTGTATTTGCTGCTGCGGCTGCAGTTGTTGTTGCTGCTGCTGCTGCTGTTGGTGCAGTTGTTGCTGCTGCTGCTGCTGCTGCTGCTGCTGTTGGTGCAGTTGTTGCTGCTGCTGTTGCTGCTGCTGCTGTTGGTGCAGTTGTTGTTGCTGCTGCTGCTGCTGTAGTTGTTGCTGCTGCTGCTGCAGGGAGCTCAGAGCCTGTTGCTGCTGCCCCAAAGAAAACCCCTCCAGCCCCTGCGCCTCACTTTTGACGACCCCAAAGGACGGGCTCAGCAGGCCGTGAAACGCACCGACCATGCTGGACGGCGGGCTCACCACACTCGCGCGCGGACTGACTGCGCCAAGCGGCGGGCTCATGACCTGCGCACGCAAGTGCATCATCTCCTGCTGCGCCTGTGTCTGTGCCTGCTGCTGTGCCTGTGGCTGTGCATGCGAGCCCATCACCCCTAGCTGGTAACTTGAGTCCATCGCACGTCGCACGCCCATGCTCCTCTCCACCTCTGCCTCTGATGCCGCCCGGGACTGCAGCCGCTGCATCTGCTGCTGAGCCTCCAAACTCTGCTCCTGCCCCAACAGGCCCTGCTGCTGCTGCTGCTGCTGCTGCTGCTGTGTGAACGCGTGGTGTTGTGCAATGAACGCGCCCCTTTGCTGCTGCTGCTGCAGCTGCTGTGCTGCCATGGTCTGCTGTGCTGCTGCGCTCTGCATGGGTGGTGGGGCAAGCAGCTCCGCACTCCTGGTGTGCACCAGCCCAGTGCCCTGAAGGGAAGATAAACGGGGGAGGAGAGCAGCAATAAGTGAGTGCAGGCCAACAAGGTAGAAAGGAAAGGTTGATGAGGAGAGGCGAGGCCGATGAGGGGAGGAGGAAGGTAAGGAGAGGTGGAGTAAAGTAAGGAGAAGAGCACGAAGAGGCGTGGAGTTGACGGAAGGAAAGAACGGGGAGGAGGTGGAGCAATGAGAGAGGAGATCGAGTAGCGAGAGTGCTTGGGAAAGGAGTATTGCGCTGATGAAGTCCTGTTGCTGGCCGAAATGCGTTCGCACGCGACATCCGGGCCTATTGTGTCTGGCGTTCTGACTAAAAAACAAATATATGTTACCTTTCTCGCCGTTAATCTCAGTTCTCGTCCTAGATCTATTCTTAGGAGGCTTGCTGCGGATCGGATCCAACTCCTTCCCACCCAGCTGCAAAAGAAGGTGCAAAAAATAGCAGCGGCTGGGCTAATGGTAGTGCGAGCTCACATATCCAGAGGTTGCAGGCAGCATGTCGCCTGCTCCGGAAAGAAAGCGCCCACGCCCGTAGCTGTGGTGCTTGCTCTCCATCGCGTTCTGCACCCCTCCTCCCTGCCCCTGCATGCCGCCCCCCTGATTCTCTAGCATACCCGGCTGCTGCTGCATCACAACTCCCTGCCCCTGACTCACAACCGCCTGAGGCTGAACCATTCCCCCCCCACTCTGCATTGTAAGCCCCTGACCCTGCATAGTGACTCTTTGACCCTGCATCGCCCCTCTCCAACCCTGCACCATCTCCACGCCCCCGTGTTGAGGCCCTGGCCCTGGTGCAGCCGTGAACTGCTGCTGGCCCGTAGGCCCATACCCTTGACTCCCTTGACATTGCTGACCCTGTTGCCCCTGTTGACCCATGTGACACTGTTGACTCATTTGACCCTGTTGACCCATGTGACCCTGTTGCCCCATGTGACCCTGCTGTCCCATGGGCTGCAGTACGTGCTGCCCTGCAATCTGCTGGCTCACTTGCTGTCCATACTCGTTCCTCTGCACCGCCTCGCATGCCCCCTGACTGCCCACCAGAGAATGCTCCTCTCCTCCCCTTCCCGGACCACCAACCATCATACATACCGTCCCGGCCGATCCTGCAGTCACACAACCGCCTGCTGCTGCTCCTGCTGCTGACGAGTCTGCTGCGGCAGAGCTTGCTGCCTTTGGAACGCCGAAGCTCGTGACCTGTGCTGTGCCGACCCTCCTCGGGCCCTCACCCATGACAACGGATCCCTCAGCTGCTGCGCCTGCTGCTCCTATTGCTCCTCCTGCTCCTGCTCCTCCTGCCCCTGTCACTCCTGCAACTGCCAAACCTCCTCCCGGATCGGCTCTCTGCGCCACATACCCCCGGCCAGTTTGGAACAACGGGCGGTAAGCGCCCGGACCTGGACTCGCAGCCATGGCCGAGCCTCGTTGCGCCCCTACAACCGAGCCTGGGCTTGCTGGTACGGCCGACCCAGGACTGGCAGGTACGGCCGAACCTGGGCTGGCAGGTACAGGCGTGGCAGGATGGCTCATGGATGCAGGCGTGGTGGGCGCACTGGTGGCTGTTGGATGCACCACAGTGCTCTGCGGGGCCGTTGATGTGCTGCGGTGAGCGGAGGACATGGTGTGATGTGGTGTTGACATGCTGGTATGAGGTGCCGTGGCCGTAGTGCCAGCATGCATGTGAGTGGCATGTGACATGTGGGCCACATGGGACATGCCGCTTCTAGGCGTGGTGGACATGGCCCCTTGATCCACCTCCCCTGCTGGCCCGCTGCACATGCCAAAGTCGCCAGACACGGACACGGAGCGAGACGCACCCCCTGCTGCATCCGAAGCTGCTGCCGAACCTGCCACCGAACCTGTGTGAGCAAGGGCCAGCGCGGCAGAGGTTGGGGAGGAGGGTGGGGGGAATGTCAAGAATGCTGGGCATGAAAGCAGGCGGCGATAGCAAGAGAAGAAGATGGGCGGCGTCGGGAGAGCGAACAACCCCAGAACGTGCTTCACGAACGCTACATAGGGAGATCACATGGCCTCCAATTCACAGCACGTGGGGCTGCAAACTGCAAGCCTGACCAGGAAAAGGCCACACGTGTACCCAAAGGCCACACGTGTACCCAAAGGCCACACGTGTATCCAAAGGCCACACGTGTACCCAAAGGCCACACGTGTATCCAAAGGCCACACGTGTACCCAAAGGCCACACGTGTATCCAAAGGCCACACGTGTATCCAAAGGCCACACGTGTATCCAAAGGACACACGTGTATCCAAAGGCCACACGTGTATCCAAAGGCCACACGTGTATCCAAAGGCCACGCGCGTATCCAAAGGCCGCAAAGCAATGGTCAAGAGAAGCGCACAGCACAGCTACCAGGCGTCACAGTGCTCCCAGACTGAGAGGGGTACCGGTCCAGACTGAGGCGTTGGGCGTGGAGAGGCTGCCGCACAACGACACCGGCGTGCTGATGGGCGACGCTGTCGTCGCACTCCTCCCCGCCCCGCGCCCTCCCCTGCCGCGCCCCACTGTTAAGGGAAGAGGGAGAAACGGCAAAGAGCGGATTAGTCTAGGGAAAGGGAGGGAGAGCGGGGGAAGGGCGGGAGGGATTTGGGTTGGGGGTGTGTGGGTAAGCTGGGATGGAGGGCTCTTCGATGGGTGGGTGGTGAGAGTGGTGGGAAAAGGGGGGAAGCAGGGGCGGGTGGAGGAGGGGGTGGACGAAGGGGGTGGGAGGAGGGGGTGGGTGGACGGGCTGGAAGGGGAGGATCGTGCATGTGATGTGGAACAAAGGGAGCACCAGTACAGCTGCTAGCGCATTCAAGACGCAAAGTCACCTCAGCAACGGTTGAGGAAGGCGGATGTACCAAAGTTCAGGCAAGTCGTACATAGATCACCCGGCAGCACTCACTAGCTTTGGGTTCCCTGCGCGCCCCCCCGTGCCCCCCTCCTCGCCCCCTCGGCACCCCTGCCGGGGGCAGCAGGCGAGGATTCTCCCCCTCGCCTCGTCCTCCTCCGCCTCCGCCCCCACCTGTCACCCCACTCCCGCCTGCACCCCCACCTGCACCCACCCCATCCCCTCCTCCACCACCACCCCCTCCTCCTCCTCCCCCAGCTCCGGCCCCTCCGCCTGCTGCCTGTATCTTCTCCAGCGACCGGTACTGCAGGCGCACCTCGTCCGCTGCGCCATCGAGGGTGCGCACCATGTACCAACCGTTGAGGCACTGCGTGGTGATGATGGCCTTACGCCCGATGAAGTGCTCCGGCGTGCGCTTGTTCCCCTTTATAAGCACGATGTCGTTCACTCTAAACGGGAACTGCGCCGTGCTGGACGACCGAACCGGGCGGACAGGTGCGGGGTGGGTGCTTTGCTGCCCACCCTGCTGCGCACCCTGCTGCCCAGCCTCGGCCGAACCTCGGAGACTTGCTGCGTTTACCGAGCCTGGAGCGGCGTAGCTGGTTCGGGCCGGACCAGGCAAGGTTTGGAGGGGGCTTGCGGGTTTAGAGGCTGAGGGGGAGGCAGCCACAGCAGTGAAGGGGGAGAGGAGAGAGGGGCCCGCTCTGCCCATGGCGGCTGGTGGCGAGCCGGCTGCCGTGGCAGCAGCGGCCGCAGCAGCGACGGCGAAGGAGAGCGAGGGGGAGTGCTGGGAGGTGGAGGAGGCGTGGTGGTGGTTGGGGGTGTCGGCAGAGAGCTGAGGGACGGGTTGACATGGGATGGCGGAGGGCAGAGAAGGGGGGAACGGTGGGTGGGATAGGCAGAGGCAAGGGGGGGAGAAGAGAGAAGGGAGGGAGGGGATAGGTGAGGGGAAGTCAGGAGAAGGCGACGAAGCTGAGACTTAAGGGACAGACGAAGAAAAGAAGGCTCGTTCACTTCACCGGGGCAGCGCATCACCACCACAAGCAGCAGCAGCAGCGGTGGCAGCCATGGACACAGCAGTGAGAGAGCTGGACTCCTGACCCCTCCACTTCCCCTCAACGGTAAACTCAAAAGGGTCACTCGAAACAAAAGTAGGCACACTCATAACCGAGGGAGCGGGGCTCTTTGAGATGACTCAAAGGCCACTGCAAAGCAGGCGTGACATTACCTGAGCAGCGGCGGCGGCAGCAGCAGCCATGGCGGCCGCAGCGAGGGAGCTGGACTCGCGGCGGAAGGCAGCGACGGCGGCACGCAGAGTGAGGTTGGGGGTGAGCGTGGCGGGGTCGATGTGCGCGCCGCACTCGGGACACGTGCTCTGGGTGAATACGTGCACAGGGGGTTGGGATGAAAGCACGGGGGCGATGGGAGGGAGGTGGGACAGTGAATGATGTTCGTGTTGAGGCGCCCAAAGCCTGGAGGGTCAATGTGGGTCGCACGCTCTAGGTATGTGCTTTGAGGGAATGGGAGCAGTGGGGACGGGGGAGAGGGACCAAGTTTGGGGTAGGCCTTGAGGGGTGATCGGTGCGCACTGCAAACTCCACAGAGGTGCTCTGATGGATCGGGTGCAGTGAGGGCCTTGGATTGGAGCATCTGACTGGTGGTGCAGGTTGAAGGCGAAGCATGATGAGACGTTCGCTCTTCCACATGAGCCAGGTTGCATTGAGGGTTTGGGCTTGGAAAGGGAGGAGGGGGCGAGGGAGGACAGGAGGGGTACGGGTGGGGAAGGAGGAGAGCAGAAGAAGGGGTGGGAGAAGGGGGAGAGGGGACAGGCATGGGAAGGTTTTGGGGAGAATAGGATTGGGTTGGGAGAGGAGGATGGGGTTGGGAGAAGCAGCTAAAGAAGCAAAGCGTCCAATGGGGGTGGGGAGCAACAACAGATGGCGGCGAACCCGGCAATCGGCTCTAAGGAAATGCATTGCATTGAGCGCAGCTCAAGCGGTTGGTTGCGCAGCAGTGAACGAATAGGAATGGCGTGGTCCATTCAGCAAGGTGGGAGGCTCACCGATTCGCGCACGACTGCGAGCGTTGCTCCTCCAAAAGAATGCCCACAGCACCCCACCACCGCGTCATCGAGCAGGCGACCTCTGCACACACACATAAACACGCATGCCACACACACACGTTGCGCAGAGACACAGGGCCATACAAACGACACAATCGAAAGACGTGTTAAAAGACACTCGTTTCTGTGAAGCCGCCGGAGAGAGATGGTGAGAGAGATGGTGAGAGAGATGGTGAGAGAGATGGTGAGAGAGATGGTGAGAGAGATGGTGAGAGAGATGGTGAGAGAGATGGTGAGAGAGATGGTGAGAGAGATGGTGAGAGAGATGGTGAGAGAGATGGTGAGAGAGATGGTGAGAGAGATGGTGAGAAGAGATGGTGAGAGAGATGGTGAGAGAGATGGTGAGAGAGATGGTGAGAGATGAGAGAGATGGTGAGAGAGATGGTGAGAGAGATGGTGAGAGAGATGGTGAGAGAGATGGTGAGAGAGATGGTGAGAGAGATGGTGAGAGAGATGTGAGAGAGATGGTGAGAGAGAGGAGAGAGATGGTGAAGAATGGAAGAGATGGTGAGAGAGATGGTGAGAGAGATGGTGAGAGAGATGGTGAGAGAGATGGTGAGAGAGATGGTGAGAGAGATGGTGAGAGAGATGGTAGAAGATGGTGAGAGGATGGTGAGAGAGATGGTGAGAGAGATGGTGAGAGAGATGGTGAAGAGAGGAGAGAGATGGTGAGAGAGATGGTGAGAGAGATGGTGAGAGAGATGGTGAGAGAGATGGTGAGGAGAGGAGGATGGTGAGAGAGATGGTGAGAGAGATGGTGAGAGAGATGGTGAGAGAGATGGTGAGAGAGATGGGGGGGGGGGGGGGGGGGGGGGGTGGTGAGAGAGATGGTGAGAGAGATGGTGAGAGAGATGGTGAGAGAGATGGTGAGAGAGATGGTGAGAGAGATGGTGAGAGAGATGGTGAGAGAGATGGAGAGAGATGGTGAGAGAGATGGTGATGGAGAGAATGGTGAGAGAGATGGTGAGAGAGATGGTGAGAGAGATGGTGAGAGAGATGGTGAGAGAGATGGTGAGAGAGATGGTGAGAGAGATGGTGAGAGAGATGGGGGGGGGGGGGGGGGGGGGGGGAGAGAGATGGTGAGAGAGATGGTGAGGAGATGGAAGGATGGTGAGAGAGATGGTGAGAGAGGATGGTGAGAGAGATGGGTGAGAGAGATGGGGAGAGGGAGAGATGGTGAGAGAGATGGTGAGAGAGGGTGAGAGAGATGGTGAGAGAGATGGTGAGAGAGATGGTGAGAGAGATGGTGGAGAGATGGTGAGAGAGATGGTGAGAGAGATGGTGAGAGAGATGGTGAGAGAGATGGTGAGAGAGATGGTGAGAGAGATGGTGAGAGAGATGGTGAGAGAGATGGTGAGAGAGATGGTGAGAGAGATGGTGAGAGAGATGGTGAGAGAGATGGTGAGAGAGAAGAGATGGTGAGAGAGATGGTGAGAGAGATGGTGAGAGAGATGGTGAGAGAGATGGTGAGAGAGATGGTAGAAGATGGTGAGAGAGATGGTGGAGAGAGATGGTAGAGAGATGGTGGAGAGAGGAGAGAGATGGTGAGAGAGATGGTGAGAAGAGATGGTGAGAAGAGATGGTGAGAGGATGGTGAGAGAGATGGTGAGAGAGATGGTGAGAGAGATGGTGAGAGAGATGGTGAGAGAGATGTGAGAGGATGGTGAGAGAGATGGTGAGAGAGATGGTGAGAGAGATGGTGAGAGAGATGGTGAGAGAGATTAGAGAAGGAAATGGTGAAGAGAGATGGAAAATTGAAGAGAAGAAATGGTGAGAGAGATAAAGAAAGAATGGTGGAGAGGTGGGAGATGGAGGAATGGAGAAATGGAGAAGAGGAAAGAGCATGGAGGATTCAGCAGTCCTGAGGACCAGCCGCATTACTGAGGCGCGTGCACCCCTCAATAGCTACAGTGGCACGAGGGAAATGCATACAGTAGCTCCACACACGAGCTGTGCTCGCTCCCGACAAATCAGCCGTCGGAGCCATGTGAGACTCGCACATGAGGGAGTCGCGAGGAAGCAAACCCTCCACGGGTCTGCCTGTCGTACCAACACGACCCACTCGTGACTACGCTGCTACAATAGCCAGTCATCATCACGCCAAGCCAACCGCACTCGTACTCACGTGAGCGGGTCGCTGAGCACGTCCCTGAGTCTCGGCTCGTTGGAGGGGCCGCCTCTGCCACTGCCGGTCAGCCCAGCCAGAGCAGCGGACAGCTGCGCACTGCTGCCCCCCGCCGCTGCCAGCGCTGCATTCAGCTGCGCCCCCGTGCTGCCCCTGCTCCTCCCCCTGCTGCTCCTCCCCCTGCTGCTGCAGCCAGTGCTGCTGACAGCTGCGACGCACTCTCTGCTCCTCCTGCTGTTAGTTTCGCACTGGGTAACTGGGCGCCACTGCTCCCTTTCCCTGCTCCTGCTCCTCCTGCGGCTCCTGCTGGCGATGCTCTTGCTGCTGCTCCTGCCGCCACTGCTGGTGCTGGCGAAGGTGCATGCTGGGAGGCAGCAGTGCCAGTCAGTGAGCCGTGCAGCTGACCTGTACCACCAGTGCCCACAGGCCCTGCACCGACCTTATCCGCTATAGGGCTTGTAACAGGACTTGTAACAGGGTTTGTAACAGGGTTTGTAATAGGACTAGTAACGGGACTTGGAACCTGCTTCGCAACAGGGCTTGTAATGGGTGAGCAAGTGGCAGGCGGGGCATGCAGGCTGGTGGCATGTGCAGCCGACGCAATGAGCGGCCCTGCTGCTGCGTTGGGACTAGCCACACTTGCTGCCACAGCTGTCAAACAAGCCTGTGGCGCTGAAGAACGCCGGTGGGGCGAGAAACACACAGCGGGGCCGTGTGAAGCAGCAAAGGCCACGCTGGAAGCCGGGGGAGAAGAAGCAGCAGCGAGGAAAACGGGCTGAGACGAACGACTTCCTGCTGCGCCGCGTGCTGCTTGCTGCTGCAGCAGCGCACCAGTGATCGTTTCCCCGGTATCACTGCTGTCGCCCTCAACAGCTGTACCTCCTCCAGACGCCACAGCAGCAGCAGCAGCAGCAGCAGCAGCAGAAGGAGCAGCAGCAGGCGGCACAACAGAACTGGCAAGAACTGGTGTTGCAACTCTTGTTTCAGATGCGTGGTATCCCGGACCTGGTGCAACAGATGCAAGCGTTGTTCTCACTCCCACAACCTCAGCAGCCTCTATCCCTACTTGCCCTCCTTCCGACCTAGCTTGTGCTGCTGCTGGTGTTGCCAGCGTCACTGGAGCAGCGACAGCATCCAATTGAAACCCTAAATCACGTGGCTGTACCCTTTGGCGATCGAGAACGAATGCTGCTGGGTCTTGTGCCTGCAGCTGCTGCTGCTGCCATACTTGCTGGGGCTGTTGCTGCAGCTCTTGCTGGTTCAGCTGTTGCTGGAGAGTTACAGATGGCGGCCCCTGGGCGTATGCTGGCGCGTGAGGTGAGACGGTGCGTTCAGCGGGCTGACCTGTGGTCTGTGACGCGGGGCCTGGGGCGACGGAGAGAACAGACGGCAAGGGGGAGAGAAGGGGCAATCTTGAGCGAGAAATGGGGGAAGAGGGAGAACGAGTGAGAGAGCAAGGGAGGGAGAGGGAGAACGAGTGAGAGAGCAAGGGAGGGAGAGGGAGAACGAGTGAGAGAGCAAGGGAGGGAGAGGGAGAACGAGTGAGAGAGCAAGGGAGGGAGAGGGAGAACGAGTGGGAGAGCAAGGGGGGAAGAGGGAGAACGAGTGGGAGAGCAAGGTTGGGAGAGGAGGAAAGAGGATGCAAGAGAGAGAACGGCGGTGGGAGGGAAGGAAAGCTGGCAAAGAAAGAGAGAACAATGAGAGGACAAGGGACGAAGCACGTCTGTATTGCTCTGCACAAGACTGAAGAAATTCCGCGACTCTCTGAGGAGGAGGAACGGAGAGGAGGCATGGACGCCACAGCGGAATCGCGCCAGGCTCTCAATCCAACTTGGAGGTCCCTTGTATAGAGAGGATGACAGCGATCCGACATTGTAGCGCCACTGAAGCGTTGCCGTTGGACTTCTCCCAACGCAGCGAGCTATGTGACCCCGTCAGACCCCATCCCGCGCGCCCGAAATCAGCGGAATAGGGAGGCTGGCGGATAGATCCCTTAAAGCCAGGGCTCTAACCTCGCTGCCTCCAAAGCAAAGAGACGCTCTATGCAGCTCTAACGCCGGCGCGCCTGCCGCGCGTTCCGATGATCTTTGCGACGTCTCTAATGTCAGACGCACCGTTCGTAACGGCCGCATGGCTCAGAAGGCGACTAGGGGACTCGCGGACGAGGCGGCGACGACGCATGGATGCCCGGGGACGAGGCGAAGGCGAGGCGTGGAGGCATGGGGAGGAGGAGGAGGAGGAGGAGGAGGAGGAGGAGGAGGAGGAGGAGGAGGAGGAGGAGGAGGAGGAGGAGGAGGAGGAGGAGGAGGAGGAGGAGGAGGAGGAGGAGGAGGAGGAGGAGGAGGAGGAGGGAGTCAATGAGACGCCGGAGACGAGACGCGGGATCTAGATTCAAGTCGACCTAGTCGAGAGGGCGAAACAGTCGCATGACACGAGTCGACGGGACGGCACAGCTGGCTCGTTCGACGCAGTGGAAACGCACCACAGTTGACTCGTTCGGCTAAAAAAGGATGCAGCACAGTGGGCCTGGGCACGTACCACTAGCGCCACCGCCGACGCTCGGACCATGATGTGACGACGCACCGGCGCGAGGCGACGAGCCGACGGGTGAAAACGTCGCAAGGGTCGTCGCACTGTCGACAGCGGCGACGTGGTGCGACGGGGCGGGCTGTTGTCGCTCCTGATATCTATGCGCGTGCTGTGAGGGATCTTCGTCGAGAGCGTCCGTCTCTCCATTCTCCATATCTCGCTCAGAGCACAACCATGGCGGATTGCTCAAAACTAGAGAACTAAATGTGAGGTAGAAGAGAGGTAGAAGGGGTAGGAGGGCTAAATCTCTGCGACATAGCGACTACAGGAGGGTTTTCGAGATCCGTTGGCGCGGGAAGGTTGCGGGAATCCAGGCGGAGTTTGGGGAGCGGGAGCGGGATAAGATACTCTCTTGCTGCTGGCTGCCCGTCGCCGGCGCACGCCTGCACTGCTCCTACCACTAACTGCTTTTCAGGTTTCGTCCGTGAAGTGAACGTCTGCGAATGGAGCTTCTGTTTGCCTCACGTGTTCTTTTTTCGCTCTCGTTTCAGTCAGCTTGTTCAAGTCGAAACCTACTGACGTTCACCTCCCCTCTCCCTTGTTCCGTCACTTTGCTGCCTGCCTGCTGCTCGGAGTTCCCAGGGCTCCGTTAGTCGCTGGGGTGGATTGCTGCGAGTGTGGTCGGCCTGGGTGGTTCCTCCTGATTCACGTTTTGTTCTCTTGGCAGATATTGGTCAGTCAATTTGTGACTGACGAAAGACCAGTCTGTCTAACGAAGACGGCGATGAAGATGACGGGACGCAAACGAGGCGGATCCCCTTGTGCTGAATAATGCAGTTTCGCTTGAAAATTTATTAACATAGTTCCAGCATTTCCACCTAAACCTTTCCTTGTTGTCACTTAGTGAGGTGGGGCTCAAGAGCTTCCTTGGCGAATTGGGGGAGAACAAAGGCAGCAGAATGCACCTGCAAAAATAAAAGATGGGACACCAAGTGTTAGTTGCAAGTGTGGATGGCACAGCAATAACGAACAAAAGAACCAACAAATGGGTTACATTCTTAAAGCCCCAGGCTAAAATAGCAAAGGAGGGCCCAGCTTGAACCTTTGCCTTCTAGAATTCGTCAAAGTAGAGGATGACTGAGTAGAATTACTGCTGTGAATTTCGAATGGCAAGGAGTCTGAGATGTGTTGCTCGATTATGATTGGCTGACGCAACAATGGGCTTAGCGAAATGTACAGTGCGACACTTCTGACGTGCTCGCGACTTGAGCGACTCGTGTGTCAGAAGGGATCGCATGCGCGACATTCTTCCCCGGAACCCAACTCGATTTTCAAGTTGGGACCAGGTTTGCTTCTGGGGTTTCACAGGGGGGTTCAGAAACTGTGCGACACTTCGCGATCTGTACGACGAGCAAGATCGTCGAAACATTCGCAAGTGAACAGTGGTTCCGCCCCGAATTAGAAACCTTTCACGCACAAACTGCTTCCGAATCTACTTCAAACATAGCCCGGTGCCCAAAAAAAAAACCCCCAACTCTTTTTCAAACCAACCCCCCTTTCTTGTTCAAGCTGGGCCCAACTTGAATAGGGTGTGCTATTTTAGTCAAGGGCTTTAAGCAGCAGCACTTACTTGAGAGTTGTAGTACTTAAGGGGCGGCAACTTAGGAAGGTGGTGAGGTCGTTCAGGCTGGTCCTCGATCTTGTTGCAGGGGACCTTGAAGTTGACCTCTGGGCCCGGGGTGGAGCACACCATGAACCCAATCGTGCCACTGCCAGGAACCGGAAAGGAGGAAGGGTGGGGGATCCAGAAATCACCCAAGGCATTGATTGATCTAGCATAAATTCAAAAAAGTGATGGGGGAGGGAAAAGCAGCAGAGTCCAGCAACCCATTCCAAATTCCCTGGAAACCAACCCAAATTTCGGGACACTCCCCTTCCCAGCTTTCAAGCAGGCAGCCCGGAGCCCGTGAGGCAGGTGATGCGCGACCTGGGGTAGGTGGGGACGCTGGTCCACGCGTAGTTGACGGAGCCCTTGAAGGCGTGGTGGCAGGCGAGTGCGATGTCCTTGATGATGGGCAGGTGCAGCCACAGCGACTCTGCCTGGGTGCACACCACGCCCCCGGGCCGCACCGCGCGCGCCATCGACTCAAAGAACGGCCGCTCAAACAGCTGCTGCGCTGGACCTGCGGGGGGGGAGGGGAGGGAGGGAGGAGGGGGGGGGGAGGGGAAAGAGGGTCAGCACGAGAAGAAAGAGAGAAGGGTTTGAGGAAAACCACATGGCACCATGGACTCGCAGAAGGTCCGCTCAAAGAGCTGCTGTGCTGGACATGCAAGGGGAAAGCCAGCACAAGGAAGATGGACGAGCCACGACTCAATGAGTGGACGACGGGTTGGATGGCGAGGGCAGCAGAAAAGAGGGGCCAGACGAAGATGGCACGGATCGGCCAGTAGGAGTATCACCAGGATCAGAAAAGTGGGAGCAGAGGCCTGACCGATGGGATCGGAGGAGTCGACAATGATGGCGTCGTACGTGCCGGCTGGACACTCCTTGAGGAACGCCACGCCTGGCGGGTGACATACGCAGATGAGAGACACACGGAGATAACAGGTGAGAGACATAAGGAGACATAAGGAGACAGACACAAGGAAGGTGTAGCAGCGGATCATGCATTGGGTAAGGGGACAGCAACACAAAGAACCCAAAGGAGATTGCAGATAAGGAAACAATAAAATGTGAGAGATGGGCATGCGATGCTCCTTGATGGGAGAAGGGTGGTGATTGGAAGGAAGTCGGCGTATTAGCTGCGAGGGGAGGGCATAAGGGATGTGGCATCGTGAAATGGTGGTGGGCTCACCGTCGCCTACAGTCACATTGACACGAGGATCCTTGTAGCCGATGGCCACAGCTGGGAAATGCTCCTTGGACACCTGTGCACGCGCATTGGGTGAGGACAAGGGCAGGGCAGCGTGGGAAAGGGCAGAGTGGAAGGACGGGCGGTTGGGGGGGTTAAGAAACGTGATGGAGGCGCACTGCACACTAGAAGAGGGAAGAGAAGATGGGCATGAGAGAGTGGAGAAGCACAGTAGGGATCAAATACGTAAATACCAGAGTTCAGCTGCCCATGTGTGGGGTGTGTGTGGGAGGGAACTTCTCTACTTCTCAGGATAGGATGCAAGCTAGAGGGAATATGAAAGCGCAGGAAATACGGTATGGGGCGTAGGGGCGGGGAAGCATGGGCATCAGCGTGAATGTGATCATCAGCTGGAGTCAGACGGTTGATCCTGCATGTGTAATAATATTCAAGATCATCAGCTGCCCATGTGCGGTGGGAAAAGATGGCGGACTCGATGCATACTACAGGGAACATGGAGGCACAGGAGATAAAGCATGGCGCCTAGGGCATAGAGCATGCTATTGAACCGCCTCAAAGGCATAAACTGGCAGACAGAAGGGAGCATGGGCATCAGACAGGGTGTGATCATCAGGCTGGAATCAGGCGGTTGATCCTGCATGCATAGTTCTACTCAAGATCATCAGCTGCCCACAGAGAGGAAGATCATGTTTGCACTTGGGGGATCACGCAGCAAGCTCGTGGGAGCAGGAATCATCAGACACTTGTAAGATAGAGCATTGTGGATGGAGCATGGAGCATGGGACATGAGATATGAGGCACACTTGAGGGAGCATGGGCATCAGACTGGGTGTGATCATCAGCGGGAGTCAGGCGGTTGATCCTGCATGCCGTATTCAATTCCAGATCATCAGCTGCCCGTGTGCGCCGTGAGAGACACGTCGCATGGCATGAGCACGCAACACGGAATACGAGGCATGCACATAACGCTGGAGAGAGCACATGGAATGGGGCATAGAGAGTGGAACAACAGGCACGGGCATCAGACTGGGTGTGATCATCAGCGGGAGTCAGTCGGTTGATCCTGCATGCATAGTTAACATCAGATCATCAGCTGCCCGTGGCCCGGGGGTGTATGAAAGGCCATCACCTCCATTCCTCGGGAGGAGCAGGCAGCAAGGTGGGATGAAAGCGAAGGAATCACGCTGTGCCTAAAGAATCACGCATGGAGCACACAGCATGAACCATGAACCATGGGCATCAGAGTGAATGTGATCATCAGCTGGAGTCAGGCGGTTGATCCTGCATGCGTAGTTGATTTCAACATCATCAGCTGCCCATGTGCGCCGTGAAAAGGTGCTCCAAAGCATTGCGCAATCTAGGATGGCGATGAGTTGTGCACCAAAAATCACGTGGAGAGACTAGGAGGTGGAGCGTGGAGCATGGAGCAGACGATGTGGGGCATGGGGCATGAAGCACGGGCATCAGACCAGGTGTGATCATCAGCGGGAGTCAGGCGGTTGATCCTGCATGCATAGTTGATTTCAAGATCATCAGCTGCCCATGTGCAGTGCAAAGCCCAGTCCTTGTTTCGAAAGATATGGCCCCAGGTGAGTGGAAAGGAGATTGAGCATGCAGGGCTCCCTCAAGTCACATAGGTCCATGGCTAATCTCCACTCTGACCATCTGCTAGGCTCACATCAATCCCCCTCCCCCCCGTCAGTTCCGACACGACCATGCCCCGCACCAACTCACGTCGATGACCATGCCGTCGATCTCGACGATGTCGATCTGCTCCACCCCCACGTGCCGCGACACCTCCCTCAGCACGCCGCCGTCGCCGCCGCCCACCACCAGCACCTGGTACGCACGCGAGCCGGGGAAACAAGATACTGCAGGGAGCAATGAGCAATGAGCAATGAGCAATGAGCAACAGCGACGGCAAACAAGAGCACAATTGATGGACTGCGCGGCCAGCATTGAGTGACGGACGGTGCTGCGACTGTTGGAACGCACTGGCCGCGGGTGTCTCAGTGTCGGGCGCACGGACCTTCTTGGGGTTGGGGATGGAGCAGAGCGGCACGTGCGTGATCATCTCCTGGTACGCGCACTCGTCGCGCTCCGTCAGCTGGATCACGCCGTCCAGCACCAGCACCTTGCCGTACGTCTCCGACTGGGGGAGGTGACATTTTGGGAAGGTGGGATCGCGGATGATGCCAGGGGGGAAAGCCAAATGGAGGAACTATCATCAACCACACTGCGGCAACGACACTGCCGCGCATTGATGCCAGAAGATTGACGTCCAGGCGAATCTACGAGTGTAAGCACAAATGCTTACACCAGAATAGTCACATAAAAATGGTAACTTCGCAACAGTAGCATGGCATCGGTTGCACCGCAACGATCGCAGCGCGCACTTGGAAGATGGCGACGTCTTGGAAGTCGGACTTGCCCTCGAAGAGCACCTTGTCGATCTTGAGCGAGTGCGCCTCGCCTGCACGCACGCGCACGGAGGCCGAAAGTGCTTGTGGTGGAATGAACTATTATAAAAAGCATCCTCAGAAGCCGGCCCTCAATAAAAAGAGGGCCTTGGCGATCTTGAGCGAACGCGCCTCTCCATTACGCGCGATGAGGGCCGAAAAACGGGTAAGTGAATCGGGCAATTCGAGGAGCGAACATCAATCTTGCTCGCGGAAACTAAAACCCTAAAACTAAGATGTTATGGCGTGAAGACAGCTGGCGCGAAAAGCACGCAGCAGGAGACAAGGCTTTGAGTTGGACAGCGTCGCCTCGTAAGACTCAACACGCCGTGCCAGCACACTGCTGACATGGCGCATGAACCGAGTGACTGACGTCACCATTGCGCACCTGGCCACATGGGGCTGACTTCCGAGAACCACCCCTTCATCACCGCGTCCATGTTGCCTCGCGCCGTGCCCTGCGACTCGCCCTCGAACTTGCCGCTCTGCCATCACAAAGAAAAGTAAAGATGTAAAGGTGATGCACCATATTTTCCATGTCGGGAAACTGAATAATGAGGATATTGACGACGAGAGAACTAAGGATGTCAAGATTCCGGTAAGACAAAGAACAATGCGGGTAAAGTATGTCTTTCTTTACTCGATATTTTCTTATCAATGGCCGCCAGATCTGTACTCACCGCAGCTTCCGCCATGGCGACTCTCCTGCGAGGACGAAAGCTCGAACAGGAAGGGAGGAGAGGAGAGCGTCTTGAGAGGACACGGCCGAGGCCGAAACTGAAGCTGAGTCTGCACGTGAACATCACAGGTTCCAACTCTACAGCCGAGATTTATGTCCGGTTTAGGAAGGCATCTTGGGGCTCACGAGCGAGGCAGCTTGCTGACAGACCAGCGGGCTCTGCTCAATGTTGGCTCTGGATGGAGTGGGTTATGCTGGGTTGGGAGGGATGGAAGAGGTTTGGGCTGGTTCGGTTGGAGAGAGCACCATTGGTTCAGATCAGACACAAAATGTGATTCCCCCCACTGGCAATTGCTGCAAGATTCTGGGTGTTGCGACGAGGTGGATTTTTTTTCCTCTGAAGTGCCACATGAACCCTGCGTTCTGCGTTCACTAATTTCCTCTGCTTTGTCTACAGCCTTCGTGTTCCCCCTCTAGGGACTTTGGTAAGGGCGATTCCGGAGCGAGTCTCAGACCCGAGGCAGACCCGCGGCCAGAGCCGCGGTCTGTCAGAACCTAACTGCGGGTTTTATATTCTTGATTGTGCTGTGCAGCCGCTGCACAGTCGCGAACAGTCGCATAAGGAGGGTTACGACTACAAAGGGCCAAACTTCGCGAGTCCACCAGAAAACTGCGAGTTGCTGATTGATGGAAGTTCATTTGCGCACGAAATTATTTGTTGTTCGGTTTGTCAGCTGACTGGCTGCAGCCGTCAGTTTTCCGGAAGATCTGAGGCAATTTTTGCCAGCCTCGGATCTTAGAGCGCGACCTGAGGGTCTAAAACTCGCTCCAGAATCCCCGAAACATCAGTCAGTGCTCGTTACGCCCACTCTCAAAGTAGATTCTGTACCTCGGGTCTGACCCGAGGTTAACCCGCCGACGAAGGAGCCGCGCGATTGAGAGGCTCAACCTTGGGTCTAGTGACATTGACGGTCGTGCGCCTACAGAGCTGCAGAAAGTCGCAAAACGAGTTGACCATGTACAGAAAACCGCACTGAGTTGTCGCAAAAGCGATTTGGGAGGTGTACATTGGCGGGCGATGTGAATCTTTAGAAGAGCTTACTAATTACATTAGTGTGAAGTTTTGGAGTGCATCATGCTCCACTCCTTTACACAACACGGCTCTACCTGTGCCTCTCCTTTCATCCCTCTTCCCTCATCGTTTCTCCTCTTTCATACCTCACTCCCCTTGTGCATTGGTCCCCCATCCAACCATCATTACAATTATATAGGTACCGATAACCCGCAAAAGGGCGTATTCCAGGCCCTCATATTTCATGATTTTTTTTCCTGATTTTGCTGATCTTCAGGGGATTTTTTGTACCAACCCTAGAAAATCAGCGTTGGAATCTGGAGAGAGAGAGAGAGAGAGAGAGAGAGAGAGAGAGAGAGAGAGAGAGAGAGAGAGAGAGAGAGAGAGAGAGAGAGAGAGAGAGAGAGAGAGAGAGAGAGAGAGAGAGAGAGAGAGAGAGAAAATAACGGGGCTAAAAAATAAAAAACAGTACCAACCCTGATTTTCAAGGTGTTTTCAGGGTGCCTTTGTGTACCGACCCTGAAAATTAAGTGTGGCCTAAAAGGTGTTGTAGTATAATTCATACTTAGCATTTCTGTAAGTCACTTATCGATAGATAGTGTCGAATCCTACTGTAGAAGATAAGTCCGTAGGATGACGTCAGCAAATAGCACTCGTTATAGGACAGTCGTCTCAATCACGCGAACAGTCGCATCTCTTCATTATCATCTAGGGCGCATAGCGCGATAGTGACAAACAGGTACATTAGCGAATAGGTACTTTCTCTCAAAACAGAATGAATCGTTAGTAGAGAGAGAGTACAGGTGAATATACCTAAGCGTTGTACCCTCTAAGAGGTGACCCTATACAGTCTATGCAAACATAGGAGATACACATGTTTGACACACCCCCTAGACTGCATAGGGGCAGGTCCTGAACAAGCAGCTCAGGGCGGCACTACTAGTCCAGCCACTGAGACAAGGGTCTAAAAGACCAGTTAGAAGGAGTACAGACAAGGCAAGAACAAGACCAGGGCAGCACTACTAGTCCAGCCACTGGGAGAGGACACAAGTCCAGTCTGAGTACACATATAAAGGACAGTACAAAGTCAAGGCCCTAGCAAGTGAGAGGCTACAGGAACTAGACCAAGCTGTACACAGTGCCGCTGATGATCTTTAGGCGCAAGCGCCTTCGTAAAGATATCAGCTGTGTTGGCGCCTGAGGCCAAGTGTACTACGCGAGCCTAGCGTCGCTGCTGTAGCTCGCGCAGGAGGAAGTATCGCAGCTGGATATGCTTCGCTCTGCCCTCGAGTCGAGGCTCCTGACACAGGAGGATCATGGCCCTATTGTCAGCAAACAGGACCGGGGCAGAGCTAGGCCGCTCACCTAAGTCAGTGAGCAAGAAGGTCAGCCAGCGAAGCTCCTGTGCCGCCATGGCACCAGCGTAGATCTCGGCCTCACAGCTGGACTGGGAAACAGACGAAGAGCGGGTAGCTCTCCATGAGACGGCACCTGAACCAAGGCTGAAGCAGTAGCCCTGGGAAGACCTAAGTGTCTCGGCGTCGTCTGCCCAAGAAGCGTCTGTGTGTCCAGTAAGGACCACTGGCCTACGTCCTCCTAGCACTAACCCCATGCTTGATGTACTAGCAAGATAACGCAAAACCCTCTTAGCGGTAGACCAGTGCTGCGGTCGGTGTCTGCTTGTGGCCACAAAGCGAGCCAGGATGCTGAGAGGGTACGCGAGATCTGGGCGAGTGCAAGTCATCAGGTACATGAGGCAAACCACCAGCTCTGCATAGGGGCCACTGGACTCTACCGACTCCTCAGAAACTGGAGCAGAGTGTCTGTGGTCTACAGGCAGAGGGGTGGGTTGTAAGGAGGAGAACTGAAGGCTGAACCTTTGAAGGACCTGGCGCACCAAGTGTGACTGAGTCAGGGCGATGGTGCGCGCTGCTCTGTCCCTGGAGATCTGCAAGCCAAGATAACGGCGCAGTTCTCCAAGGTCAGTGCACGTGTGTCTCTTCAGCAGCTCTGCCTTCACGGAGGCCAGTGTGTCCGTGTCTGCTGTGGCAAAGACCAGGTCGTCGACGTAAACAAGGATGTAGAACGGAGTCTCGCCAGCACGAACGAAGAGTGAGGGGTCTGCGGAAGACGGAAAGAACTGCAGGTCAGCAAGGGTAGCACGCAGCGTGTCGTGCCACTCACGGGGAGCCTGGCGCAGGCCGTAGACGGGGCGCCGCAGGAGCCACTGGGTCCCAGGAGGGAAGGTGCCAGTAAAGCCCTGAGGGCGACGCAAGTAGACCTGCTCGTATAGGCTGCCCTGAAGGAAGGCAGTGGAGAAGTCGAGGGAGTGAAGCTCGTAGTCACGCTGAGCAGCTAAGTGTAACAAAACCCAAAGAGTAATCATCTTCGGGGTCGGAGCGAAGGTCTGGAAGAAGTCCACCCCCTCACGCTGACTGAACCCTCTAGCCACGTAGCGGGCCTTGAACACAGGCGGCTCTCCAGGAGGGCGCTTCACCTTGAAGATCCAGCGGCCATCGACTACGTTCACCCCAGGTGGGGGAACTGCGTCGACAAAGGTGCCGGTGGATCTCCAAGATGCCATCTCCTGCTCCATGGCAGCTATCCACTTCGAGGCCCAAGGTCCCGAGGTCGCCTCAGCGTAAGTGCGAGGGGTCGGGATGTCGAAAGCATCTGGGTCACCCTCAGGGACTAGCAGCATGGAACAGAGATGGGGAGCAGCCTCGGAGAGGAAAGCAAGCTCGAACTGGCGGTCCTCCAGGACGTCACTGCCGAGGGCAGGAGCACCCGTGACAGACGGAGGACAGGCAGGGTCAGTGACCAGAGCGGTGGCGTAGTCTAGGCGGCGGGTAAAGGCAAAGTCAGCGACCGCAGCGACAAGAGCGTCAAGACACGAGACCGGAACAGACAGGTCTGTAACGAGAGAGGCAAGGACCCGAGGAACAAGAGGACGAGCGGCACGAAGGTAGTCAGACAGAGGGGGGGGCGCAACAACAAGGGAGGACGGAGGAGGCGACGGGAGAAGGGGAGGACGAGACGCGTGGGAACGAAGCAAAATAGGGTGAGAGCGCAAGACAGGGGAGACAGGACGAGCACGGGAGGGACGGCGAGACCAGACGTGAGACGGAGGAGTCGGGTCAGGAGACAGAGGAGGGGACACTGGGGGGGAACGAGGGGGAAGACGAGCCGGGGACGAGTCCGGCGGAGGGAACATAGGGCCGTAGACGGGAAGAGGAGGAGACGGCCGGAGAGGAACAGACGCAGGGTCAGGGGACGGAAGGCCGAGCAGGTGAAGGGCTGACACCGGCGGGGACTGCTGCTGCGGCGGCACAGCGCCGACACCGGGACCGCAAGCTGCTCCTCGGCTACCACTGGCACACTCCACGCTAGCACCCCCAGAGGGAACACCCCAAGGGCTCGAAACCCTCCGAGCACCAGTACCACCCCCAGGGCTACCGCGACTAGCACGCACTCCAACACCAGCACCCCCAGAGTCAACGAACGGATGCTGCGACGGCGGCGGCGGAGGTGACAACGGCTGCGACAGCAGGGGCGATGGCGGTGGCAGAGGCGGTGGAGGAGGGGACGCCTGGGGAGGGGCAGCCGGCAAGGACTGCGCCGCAGGACCACCAAAGTCAGAAGACTCCTCAACCGGGACCATCGACGGAAGAGGGGTGACGTGGGACACACCAGAGGGGGCGGGACGGGGAGGAGGAGGAGGGGGGGCAGGGACCACCGGGGAAGGAGTGACCAGGAACAGGGGGGGGTAACCAAGGGACCGCGGTGGGGGAAGCGACGGTAGAAGGAGACGGACTCGTCAAAGGTGACGTTGCGAGAGTGAAAGAAGCGGTGAGACGGCGGGTGGTAGAAGTGCCAGTCGGACGCGTCAAGGGGAAAACCGAGGAAGACGCAGGGAAGGGTGTTGGCAGTGAGCTTGTCCGTGCCGGAGGCACGGACGTGAGCAAGGCAGCCCCAGACGGGGAACGCAGACGCGACACCAGGAGACCCAGTCCAAAGACGGGTCGGCGAAACCTGCGGCTGCTGGGGGTGCGGCCACATGTTAAGCTGGTGAGAAGCGTAGCGCACGGCGAACGGCCACAGAAACTGGGGTGCACCGGCATGGATCATGGAG